TACATACACATAGGCCCATACATCATACACATCACACAAATTTATAAAATTTGATAGTGTGCACAAAACTTAAGAATATACTGTGGCCTACTGTGACAATATTTATTATTTGTTTCTCTCACGTTTGAGAGTGTACAAAGGAAAAATGGACACAATGCCTATACTTGTCTATTTTCCTATAATACAAAGGTACATTGGCCTAATAGTTGTATTGAATTTTAAGGAATTTAATCTATGGACCTACAGTAGTAGGCTTATATCTATACTGAGCCCGATGATCGGAAACTCTTCCAAATTACGGTTTGGTTCCGATGTGAATGCCGCTATATAGGCCTATTTTACAAATAAGTAGGCCTTTTTTTTCTTGTATGGTTACAAACGTTATTCCATTGTTTCTTTTCATATTTTTTTTTTATATTTTTGATATTAAAATATAACTCTCAATTAATTTAATGTATTTTTCAATTTAATCCCAAATATTCAAAATTAGTACAATGATAATAATACTATAGATAACAAAATAAAACTCATTCAAGTATAACGTTCCATTCATAATTATTTTCTTTTACAAAATTCTTAAATATAATCCATGCATTTTTACAAACTGGCTTACCTAGCTCTGTTAGAATTTTAATGTTGTATATAGCAAATACTGCAATGGAATATATCTCATTTTTAATTCTGCTATCACAGCCTATTAATAATTCTTTAAAAGAAGATTGACTGTTATCAAGTTTCTTAAATAGATTGTCTATATTTTCCCATAATATCCTATTTTTTAGACATTCAAAAAACATGTGCTTTTCTTTATGAGCATGTCGGTGGTATAACAAAGATAGTTATATGTAACAATAACACCTTATATACAATATATACAAGACATTTAAGTTGCCTTTATGGGCTTAACTGAACAAAAAGGAAAATATCCATAAAAAAACATTATCAGTTTTAAAAAAACCGACAGTCAGAGAAGACCTCGGTGAACGAGCGAATTATAAGATCTTTATACTAGGAAGTAACTATGTTCCGACTTTGGAAGATGTCCTTGATTTTCTTGCTCCTAACTTTCTCTGCATCTGGGGGTATGTAGGTCTGATTTTGCTTCATTGATTTCCAGTAATCTATTATTGACAGACCAAAATAATTGAAAATTAATATACAATCCTGTTCGTACCGGAAAGTCAAACTACCTAATTTATTTTCTTGCTCTGTTTTCTTTCTTGACCTTAATAATTTTTTCGGGTATTAAAATGGTCAATTTGCAATTTTTGTTGTATTTGTGTTTACACTCACTAGTATGTACTTTGGTGGTTATAGTTAATTAAAAGTAAAACTAATTAAGTTTACCTAAAACTATTACTACTATGTAGGGCCCTGATATGTTTCATTATTTTAAAAATGGAGTTATTTATTCGTGGAAAGTATCTGCCTTTTCAAAAATGCTAAATGGTACTAACATAATTTTTCATTAATATAGTTGAATCAGCAATTCACTCCCTGTCGATGTCCAGAGCTAATGGACGTCTGCTTTCGAGTCATTCACTACATCATTCGTCAGTAAGGGGTTTGACAGATTGTGTACAACTTTGTTTGCGTCACTTTGAAGAATGTTCTTCTATAGCTTACGATGAAGACAGTCAAATGTGTGACCTATTCTTCAGTGTAGCTGGACAACTAGTCGCACTGATGTTCCCAACGAATGTACTGCTGTACACAATACCATATCGCGACTGTACTGACGTCAAGCAACGAATGAGTAGTCAAAGTGGTGTTTACAAAATTAAACCTCGCTCATCATGCGAAGCACTTCTTGTTTATTGTGACATGGACACGGATGGTGAAGGGTGGACGGTAGGTTTCATTTACCCTTCGCTTTCCCGTTCCAGACTCCCTAATTCCAAGATCCTTGAAATGTTAGAGCACTACAGTGATTGAAAATACCAACTAAGTAATTTTAATCCTTCAACACAAAGTTAACCCTCTAATTAGAGACTGAACCACGACTCCGAGACCTCTCAATTGTCAGGCCTCATAATGGTTCATTTCAGAGGGCACACTCAAATGAGTTATAAATTTAGTAATACGGTCTTTGATGAAGACGAAGATATAGAAAGAGCATTGTGCCAAAATACATTACAGTATTTAAATTCATATCTTGTTAATAAGTTTATAATCGTCAGTCAGTAACTTTTGCTATAACGATAACGATCTGCTGAATCAGTACTGCTGGCATTACAGTTTGGCCTATCTTTCGTAAACATTCATGAATGACGAAGACCAAGTCCCTTTAATTGATATTTCTTCTCGTGTATTGCCTCTTTAGCAAACAATAACGTAGCAAGCAGTACCGTATTAGTTATTATATAGGCCTATTAGTCAGTTGTACCGTACTTCACTGCTTTTGTGGGCCTATGCCTAGGGCTACAATTAAAATAATAAAAATATGTTATGTTATAGGTATTTCAGCGCCGACAAGATGGTTCTGTAGATTTCAACCAAAATTGGCAAACTTATACGTCTGGATTTGGTGATTTGAGTGGCGAGTTTTGGCTCGGAAACAATAAAATCCACAAAATTACGTCGTCAGCAAAGTATGAATTTCGGATAGATATGGTTACCCGTGATGGCAACGCTTATCACGTCACCTACGAATCAATTGAGATTGGAACTGAAGCTGAAAACTTTAAACTGAATTTGGGAGAGTTCATCGGCGTTAAGTCTAATGCCGGTAAGAAATAAAGGCTATTCAGTATTTTAAATATTTTTAAATATTTTTTTTTGCATCTCAACAAACCTACATTTACATAAAATAAATTTAATAAATTCAATATCAAGGTTTATTCAAAATGTTCTTGCAGTGAAATCACTGAATTAGCACAATGTTTAGATATACTCTAGCACTTAAAATATACATCCAAAAAAGATATATTTTTTACAATAACAATTAAACTAAAATGGAAAAAGACTTTAGCTGATTACTTTAGAGTGTTCTAACTTTCAGATATTATTGTTTTATTATTATTATTATTATTATTATTAAACCAATGGTTGCAAGAAACCTTTATGCGCAATTAAATTAAAGTATATTAAACGTTAGATGCATGTAAACCTACTGTGCCTACCAGGCAATCTGTCGTGTTCAAATCAGGTAAATTCCAATGTAAAATATTGGAGGTCAAAGCACATTACGTAATTGGCTGAGTCACATCACGTGTTAGTGCACGTGTGCTCGACCCGCTTGCTCATGGCGAATTCGCTGCCATTGTCGGCACAGCGGTTGAGGCGCACAAGTTTACTAGTGTTTAGCTTCTAATGTTTTCACTTTGTTCAGTTAGACTTAATACTATATAATTAAATAATAATATAGCCTATCATATTTCGTTAATTTTTAAAACTCAAATATATCTGAGACTTCCAGCCAAATTTAATCCCCCAGAGGGGGTCAATTACAGTTTTAAAAATATCCCTAATATATTAGTAAATGATTGGTTGTAAAAAAATATAAAAAATACAGTAAGCCACCCTCCATTTTTTTATGATTTACAGAGTAATGAGTGACCCTCATGAGTGACACGCCGTACTATCTAGAAATGTTTAATGTTTGTGTGTGTGTGCGTACAATAATAATTCAAGTTCAAATGAAAAACATTTTGTTGCAAACATGTAACGTATCGAGGTAGCAAATGAAAACACTGTAATTTATTACAATATTATTTGGGAAGAGTGTAAATTGACTCTTTCGACAGACCGAAAAGTGGCTTGTAGATACGCTTTTTTCGCATCTAAAAATCGTAATACTAAACCACCAGGCCATAAACAATTTAATAAAATTTATGCAATTAAATAATTTGCTTATGTATTCCTAATTATTCAGTTTACTAAAAAGCAATATTTGATTAACAAATACTTCTTTGAAGTAACTCTAAGCAGAACATTTATTGCTAAGTTTGTGAGAAAGTAAGCCTCTCCCTTTTCATGCACGTGTACATGAACTTGTGATTCAAACACACAATTTATCCACATGCTTTAACTACTGTTTATTTACATTGTTTATAACATGTAAAGTTATTTCATTTAAAACTGCAAAAGTGAATTTTGTGGTTATTTATGAGTTGCATATTTCGGTAGTTGAAGTACTGTATGTATGTCATTCCTCTATTTTGTTAGTGGAATAACGTTTTTAAACATTTTATTTCTGCTATCAAAAAATGTTATTTAATGACCATTGTTTTCCGATAATCTCTCAGTACATTATTTGCATCTGTTGTGTAACTGTATTTGTTAAAAAACAAATACTTTTAGAGAAATTTAAAAAAAAATCACATAAATTGATCTTATTTTCAAAGGAAAAAATAAAACTTATTTTATAAATTTACAGGGTATTTTACAGCATTTAAAATTTATTTTTTTATTAAATTTTATAATTGGGGGCCATTTTGTATTTATTGATTCAATTCTTGTTATTACAGCTTTTAAATATTTGATTTAAAAAAATCATTTCTATTACTGAATTTTGGCCATTTTTAGCTACTTGTCATTGAGGCTATTTTTACCGGGGCCATTTTTACCGGACCATTTTTACCGGGGCCATTTTTTCCTGGCCATTTTACCGGGGCCATTTTTTCCTACGTTCGATGTTTATCATATCAATGTCTATATTTACATTTATATTTCGCAAGGAACATACGTGCTGCTTATTACCATCTTATTAATGCCTACAGTACTGACAATATAACTTTAAAATGTTATTTTTTTTATTATTTTTTTTAATGTTTTTGTTTTAATTTAGAATTTTGCTTTTATACTTTTATTATGTATAAAAAAAACAATGATAAACATAATAATTTAAATGATAATTACTTTAAATAGAACTTTGTTTTATTACTTATTAATTTCATATAAGATTATTATCTGTAAATTAGGCCTATGTCTTATTTTGGGTTTAAAGTTAAATGAATAGAACATTATTGCTCCCCAACACATAGGTCTACTTTGCATAGGTTAATAATATACCCTACATTTCAATATGAAAATTTATTATGTGTTTGATTATATTTTGAATGAGATATTTGATGAGATCATGCAGAAAGGCACATCAATCGTCTTGTTAAAGTTTACAGCTGAAGCATATGTTTTGAATGAATATATCAGATTAGGCCTACGGCATGGAAAAAACCATTTTCACTATTTAATTGTCTTGTTATGTTTTACAGTCGAAGCGCTTAATCACCACAATGGCAAGAGCTTCTATACACTTGACAGAGATAACAGCGGGTCCTGCAGTGTCAGGTATGAAAGTGGTTGGTGGTTCAGATCATGTTACAAATCTAATCTTAATGGTAAATATGAATCCAAAATTATCTGGAACGAGGGCCAGCTTATTTTAAGATTCTCAGAAATGAAAATGCGAAGAGTTGTCTGAGGACAAACAAACGACACATTATTATGCCTTGTCTTTGGTTAATGTTTATGTCTACTTCCAGCTCGGGGCTGCAGTAGACACAATGTTGTCGTTTGGTAGTTAACCCTGTAAGAGCGAGTAAATCCGGTATGCAGGAATGATGGGATGAGTCATTATTTAACACACGCTCTATTTTGTCGACAAAACAGTGTTTTTGTAAGGCAGAATTAATTTTGTCACCAAAAAAATGCTATTTTGTAGCAACAAAATGCTATTTTGTCGACAAAAAGACTTCTGTAGAATACAGAATTCATTTTATGTCACCACAAAATTCTATTTTGTTCTGTCGACAAAAGGACTTTTGCAGATAACAGAATTCATTTTGTCGACAGAAGCACCTTTTGTGTGTGACAGAACGAGATTATATGCAACTCGAGGAGCAGTTGTGGCGGTGGATCTTTTCGACGGGTGTCCGAGTTACCCGACGGGAAGGGGGTCGATGTCCCCGACGAAAAAAAAGTGAGCGTGATCGGGCGTCGCTCAAAATGTCTCGAAAGTGTTCCAGGGGGCGAAGCTCCCCAAAAATTTGAGAGTTTGAGGGTTCCAAAGGCTTATTTAATCGATTTTGGAGTCTCCTAATATGTAGAAAATACATATACCGTATATTAATTGTTTTCCCTCTCCGACGAATTGTGGTTTTTGTGGTTTTTCTATCCGACGAGGGGGCCAGTTCTCACGATGAGGAGCACTGACTCCCCAGTCCCGCTGCCGCCACATGAGGAGGCGGAGCCACTTCTGGGTGAAAAATCACAGCTTATATCAACAAAAAATTCACACCAATAAAATATTACATAAAATTCAGAAATGTATACACACTAACTTCTGTCTGACCATGGTTTACAGAAATAGACATTCAGCCTCGCTATTCGGTATCCAATGTTTTGACTAAGCGCATACAGATGACTCACTACCCCAAGTAACAAATCGCAAAAGGTGGACAGCACAATATTTTGTTAGTGGTCATCATCAAACCAAATCTCCGCCTCCTCATTTGCTTATAACCTCGTTCTGTTTCACACAAAAGGTGCTTCTGTCAACAAAATGAATTATGTCATCTACAAAAGATTTTTTGTCTACAAAATAGCATTTTGTGGCGACAAAATTAATTTTATCTCAAAATAAGCTATTTTGTCAACTATTTTGTGATGACAAATTAAACTCTGTCTTACAAAAACATCATATTGTCGACGAAATAGCATTTAAGAAAACAGAATACATTTTGTTGACAAATGGCGTTTTGTCGAGACAACTGGTATTTTGTAGACAAAATAGCGAATGTCCCAAACAGCGCCTCGTACCTATTTTTATATTTGTATGCTTTGGAAACACAAGTTGTGAGCTGTATTAAACTCCGCTAGTTTACATACAAAAAACAAGTAGTGTAATAGCTGTGTGTTAACCATTTGCCCACAACGGCAGAATTCACCATATTATATATAGGTATTGACAAAGATTTCCATTAATCGTGTTATTTTCTAGCATTGTACGCTTCTGAAATATGCTTTGTCATTTGTCTTTATTAGGTAAAATTCCCGTTATTAATAGTTTAGCAGAAATAGTATGGTATCAACAGATTTGAAAAAAATATAGTGTATTATTTCTTTAAACTCAATGACGGATGTGTTTCCCGATACCAAAGTTATGTTTATTATCCTGTAAACTATAATATTATTTATTATTATCCAGAAAGGGGAGAAGAGCCGTGGTAGAGCAAAGGCAGTAAAGACATACGGTGTGGTTAATATACCTATTTTATTAATATTATTATTATTATTAGGGGCCTACATCCCTGATAAAAAGAAATACGAAAATATAATATTTTATGACATTATTATGAAGCTATTATCGACCGCTAGTTTAAGTTTGTGTAGCAAAAAGAAGACAAACGTTCATGAATAAAAACAATAATTTGTTTTAACCAGGGAACAGTTAAATTCATTTTGTTACTAATAACATACTTAAGGAGGAATAGGCCTACATCCGACAATGGATGACGAAGCCAAGAAGTAATAACATTAGTAGTTTTAATAATAATAATAATAATAATAATAATAATAACAATAATAATAATACGATGACAATAATATAATAAGTATTTAATATTAATTGCCATGTCGTCACTGTACCACACGACATTGCTTCATATTATTATTATTACCACTGCACCTCCCCTTCAAACCTCCATACAACTGAGTACCTATTGAACCCTAATCATTTCTTATTTAGAACGATATAAAAAACATATATATATATATATATATATAGCAATTAAGGAACTCAACAAAAATCAAAACATCACCATCAAGCAAGCAGATAAAGGCGGCGCAACCACTATAATGAACACTTCCGACTACGTAGCAGAAGCAGAAACTCAACTTTCGAACAATGAATTTTATAGGTTACTTGATGCGATCCCACTGTACGTTATTGTAATGAACTGACTTCTCTTTGTACTGAGTTATCTGCTAACGCTAGTGATTTAGTTAAGGACCTTATTCCCCTCAACCCCCGCCCTAGCACTTTCTACACCATCCCGAAACTCCACAAACTCCCCAAGCTTCTATCTGATAAACTTAATTCACTTTCCCACAATGCTAGTGTTAGTATTCCATCCGAAAAAGTTAAACTGTTCAACCTAGTCAGGACACACAAAATTTCCCCTCCTGGTAGACCAATGTATCGGCTATTGGTACACTCACCGAACATTTATAAGGATACATTGACTCACTTTTACAGCCTCTCATACCTTCAATTCCTAGCCTCGTCAAGGACACTACACACTTTCTGAACATTCTCGAAAATATCCCCATCCTTCCTAACAATTTACTGTTGGTCACTTTGGACGTATCCTCTTTGTATAGCAATATTCCCCATGATGAAGGCCTCCAAGCCCTTGCTACATTTTTACCACAGCACTCGTTTTTACATGAATACACTAATGACATAATCTCCATAACTAACTTTATCCTGACGCACAATCATTTCACTTTCAATAATAAACACTACCAAATTAAAGGCATTGCAATGGGAACCAAAATGGCTCCGAATTATGCCAATATTTTTATGTCCATTCTTGAATCCAAACTCATTGCTTCATTCCCTCTTAAACCTCTGTTCTACCGACGTTACATTGACGACATTTTCATAATTTAGCCACACGGAGAATACAACCTTAAGACATCTGGATCATGTGAACAACTTTCACCCTCATATTAAGTTTACATCTGAATATTCTCATACATCCGTACCTTTCCTGGATGTAGCAGTTACCATCAATAACAATCGTATCTCCACATCTTTGCCTAAATCCACAGACAGTCACGCATACTTAAACTTTCACAGCTCACATCCATTAGGTCTGAAAAAGTCTATAATATTCAGCCAATGCCTCCGAATCAAACGGATATGCTCAGACATTAATGATTACAATTTCCATGTTAACAACCTAGCAGGATTTTTTCTCAGTCGTGGCTATCCTCTTAACCTAATTAAATCCCAAATTACTAAGGCAGCAAGACGTTCACGGCAAGACCTCTTATCTCCTAAAATCCGCCTCACATGCAATCGCATTCCCCTCATCCTTAATTTTCACCCCTCCATCACGACCTTATCTAGAACTATTAGAAATGGCTTCACCCCACTTCAACGCAATGAATCCACCCGACTCCTATTTGACCAACCGCCGTTACTCGCAAACCGTCAACCCCCTAACCTCAAAATGATCCTCACATCCTCACGCTTGTCACCACCTAAAATAGGCAACTCTAAATGCAACAAACCACGATGCATGATCTGCAAACTACTCATCACTGACACACAAATTAAACTACCCCACTCCTCTCATACCATTCAGATCCTGCCCTGACTTTCGATTCTTCTAATGTCATATACCTTCTCACTTGTGTCAAATGTAACCAAGGGACCTACATCGGGGAAACCGGCGGTAAATTTAGATTAAGATTTAACAATCACAAACAAAGCATCCGCAAAAGTAACACAGACGGCTTTCCTGTGGCCGAACATTTCAACTCTCCTGACCAAAACATCAACGACATTCGCTGTGCACTCACTGCTTGCAATTTCAAATCACTCAAAGAACGACGTCAATCTGAACTGAAACTCATAATCAAATATAAAACACACATTTTTGGTCTTAATAAAGACCTGGGTATCATTAGTGACTACACCTTTCCCCATGCTGATTCTGCTAATTAATTATGCTTCATCTTAGTATCCGACTCTATACCTTTATTCTCCTATATTTATTCACACATGTATCTCATGTTTATATACATATAGTTCATTTCTATATATATATATATTTTTTATATATTTTCATTTGATAATTATATCTATGCTTTTTGTACCCTGTTATCATAATACATTTTTTTTTTTATATTTCATATTTTATAGACTGGATTATGTTCACTCAACTTGTATACACCGATATCCATTTTATTCTTGTTCATTTAAGACTTTATCTCATTAATATATTCTACTAGTTTTACTATTACATATTATTATATTATCGTTACTATCGTTACTATTGTAATTATTATCATGTCCTCTATATCATTACATTATGTTATAATGTATACACTTATTCTTTAATTATGTTCATTGTGATCTATAATGGATCTTTCATCATTACAGAGATATATATTTTCTTGCCTTTTATTATTGTCATTTTACTCATTAATTTATTTCCTTAATCCTTAGTTGCCTTACAGCCACCTGCTGTTTATTCACCATAATTATTTCACTTTTGTTTATATCAACTTGTTTGTAGGCCCGATGA